ACATTTAAACAAATATGTTCAAAAAAGTCACAATGACGTAGATGGCGCTGTGACAGCAACAAGACGCACTTAAAATATTAAAGATGGCGCTCGTGTTGACGAAAAGTACTGACGGTTGTCACGATATCAATGTAGACTAGTTCAGATAATTAAAAAAATGCAGTTAGATAAAATCCGAGTTACACCGTCTAAATAATCAAATTTAAATTATTCATTTGTTTTGACCGTGTCATATATATTGACAGTCATTGAGACTTCGAATAGTGTAGCCAGTCATTGGGACGCGATGTCGATATATACATAGCGATAAATCTTCAAGATCTTTCCAATTTGTTACGAAATTTCATGGATTTATCACAGTGTTTTTGTTTTTTAAATACAACATTTCCCGATGCCAATTTCCACAAATCTGCCTGCTTTGCACATCCCTAAAATCACCCTGTCGACCGTTGCCGACTAACATCCAGAACATAGACTGTGACATACATACAACGACTCATTGTACCGCCCGGGTCCGGTCCACAAAAACGGTTAAATACACGCCTTGTAGCTAGAAACGTGCATAATTCATTGAACATGGCACACAGCAAAATAGAATGCATTTTATTACTCAAGGTTGAATTGACGATTTGAAGAAATTACACCTGTAGATCGACACAGACATTACTGTCTTAGCCATTAAAATAAAAATTGGTTTGAAGGAGCGTGAATAAAAAACAGGCAAATCGGTTATTGCCGCATGCATTAATTAAATACATAAAACCCTGTAGACAGGAGATATATTTTACACCATTGTACTTACCAAATAATTTATTGATCTTCAAACTATTCAGTAGTAACGCGAAGTCACAGAAAGCATCATAAAGAAAGTGCCGTACACGAAGTGAATTCACTCCCATGATGCAGTAGTAGGACACATTGCCTGAACCCGAAATCATGCGGAGGAGGAGGGGGTGCCATGATCGAGGTACGTAGTCAAAATACTGATATATTTATTGCAATCATAATCAAATCAGGATATCAAACAAAATACTAATGAAGGTAACATTCTGACAAACAAACATATTACCACTACTTTATGGACATTAATTTAACAACATAAAAACAACTTTGTGTTAGATGTATGTAATTTAATCAGAATCTGCACATTTTTGGGTCTAAAATAGCTGCCAAAAGCTCCACTTCACGTGCGTATGTATACCTTCATGACATGCATGTGTACCAAATTTTAATAGAATCCATCAACGCGTGTTTGAAATATGGCGATGCACGCACACACGCACGCACGCAAGCACGCACGCAAGCACGGAACTAAGAACACTACTTCTCGTTTCGGACTACCGTCCGAACGGGAACTAATAATACAAATATCCATGATTAGGAAACTTGTCTTCATTATAATTTGCGTATAAACAGGTTTATCTGCGTATAATTTGTTGAAAATGTTCAGCAAATCCAGAATGTTATTACTTAAAAACTGCACACATAAAGGGCATATACAATACTCATGTTTTTCGTAATGAAAAGTTTTCATTATATTAAACAGTACATAATATATAATAATAATTTTAAATTTTATGATTATAAGGCGTGCTGTATCTTTATACATTTTGTGAATATTTTCTGTAACACAAATTCTTACGCTCAGAATTTTTGTTTTCTTAGTGACGTCACTGTATTTTTGATGTATAGTGCAACTCAGTTTCTGTTTGAATTTAGTTTGAATACATTAGGTAAAACTTTTGAATCAGAAATCAGGAATTCATGAATCTGAATTTAACAGAATCAATTATTCTGAGCATGCTCAGTTGATCTGTCAGTGTAGTAGAGAGAGGTAATTTTGAATGAAAATCTTGTGAAAGACCCACTTAGGATTTTCAGATCTGTAAAAAAAAAACCATGCACATGTAACACAGACTTGTTCATCAACCTGCCAAGTTTCATTGACATCTGCTGCAGTGTCCCGGATAAATGTGAGAGATAACTTGCAGCAACTTGGAAATGACAAAAAAAGGTAAAACTAGTACTCCCCTTTCAGGCTTCGTCTGAACGGGGACTCAAAACGAACACAACTGCATTGCGTAGCAGCAAATGATCACGGTTGCGCAATCCTGTCATGCCGCGTTTCACAATTGTTGATTATTACTCAGTAGTGATTATAGTAACGTACACAAAATAAATTGTTGAATTGTTATGAAATGCAACTAAAATTCAAGTTAGTTTCATCGTAAGTAAATGATTCCAGTCGCATATAAACGCTTGATGCTGTCGGGTATCCGCCATGTTCCTTGTCTTGCATGTGTTGACCTAACAGCCTAATAGGTTGAATCGCTAATTAACCAATCAAAATGCTGGATGATACTTGCTCATTACATGTATAAGACACTGCATTCATAAATCTGAGTGAACCTTGATGTACATGACTTCTTTGTTCATTAAGGTCTTAGTATATTACCAGGACATGGGTCAAATCAAAGATCAAATAACGACATTGTTTTAATTTGTATAATTTTGGAAGGGTGTGGTCATTGTTGCCAAAAGCAAATCTACTCGTACCAAGGTGTAATCATGCCAAATATGAATGAAATCGACACGTTGATGGTAGAGATACCAGCAAATAACTACATTGATCTAATTTGCATATTTTGGGAGGGCATGGTCATTACTGTCAGAAGCACATCTAATCGTGTCAAGGTGTAATCCTGCCAAGTTTGAACAAAATTGGCTCAATGGTTGCTGGGATAAGAGTAAACAACTGCATTGATCTAATTTGCATGTTTTAGGGAGAGCGTGGTCATTATTGCCAAAAGCACATCTGCTCGTGCCAAGGTGTAATCATACCAAATATGAATAAAATCGACACGGTGGTGGTAGTGATAGCAGCAAATAACTTGCATTGATCTTATTTGCATATTTTTGGTGAGGGCGTGATCATTATTGCCAAAAGCATATCTACTTATGCCAAGGTGTAATTATACCAAATATGAATGATATGAACACGGTGGTGGTAGTGATAGCAGCAAATAACTGCATTGATCTAATTTGCATATTGTTGGGAGGGCGTTGTCATTACTGCCAAAAGCACATCTACTCGTTCCAAGGTGTAATCATACCAAATATGAATAAAATGAACACGGTGGTGGTAGAGATAGCAGCAAATAACTGCATTGATCTAATTTGCATATTTTGGGAGGGCGTGGTCATTACTGCCAGAAGCACATCTTCTCGTGTTAAGGTGCAATCCTAGCAAATATGAACGAAATCGGCTCAATCATTGCTGAGATCAAAGGAAACTGAATTTAACCAATTTGCATATTTGTTGGGTAGGGTGTGGTCATATTAATAATAACCTAAACGATTACTTCTGATAATAAAGAAGCCATTTTGACATTGGGTTCTGAGAAATTGGTTCTGAGGTTCTGCAAAGTTGGTTCTGAGTCTTTGAGGTTATGAAAAGTATACACTACCGATCGAATACAATTGGTGAAACTTGTGAATCAGAAATCAGGAATTCAAGAATCTGAATTTAACAGAATCAATTATTCTGAGCATGCTCAGTTGCTCTGTCAGTGTACTACAAAGAGGTAATTTTGGATGAAAATGTTGAACAAGAGTTGACAGAGCCATCTCGATGCTGAGAAATTAAGGGTAGTTAAAGGTGTGTTTTCGAGCAATTGGTTGGCGAACAGGCAGAAAAGCAAAGAAAACTGAGGAAGAACTCCTGTGTCTGTGCGAGAGGCTGAAATAAAAGATGAGTGAATTATGAAGATTGTTATCAGAAAATAATTATAGATTTTATATTAGATGTATTAAACCTGATGCAACTACAGGTAGAAAAAAAAGACTTTTTCAACTGAAGTTTTCTATTAAAAATTAAATTTTAACTGAAGGAATTAAACTAAATTAAATATTCATGTTTCTTTATTTTGAATATTAGAAATGAGTGTTCAACTTGGGACATTTAATTGTACTTAGCGTATGTTACTATGACAATCAACAAGAACAGTAGACAATGACTAAATGCATGGCCACAGCCAAATCGCCAATGCACTATTCCCATAAGCATGGGTAAGTGGAAGTTCATAGCCAAGCGTACTGCGGTCAAGAACAAAGGAATAAATTACGTGACGAAACAAAACCGATTTGTCGTCGATTTCCGGGTTCGAGTGGGTTTCATATAATATATATATATATATATATATACAAGAAGATAGATACGCACTACACCACCGAGTGTAGTAGACATACTCCAGATGGCAATAGTAAGTTCGAAGAAAGCTGATAAACTTGATTTATAACCGTCGAAGTAAATGGAAATCACTTTTCAGTTCTCGTTGAGGCACAAACGTATTTAAATGAGTTGGTAAACCAGTGACGATGCAGATTTCGACACTACTACAGTTCGACTAAAGTTTACAAACACCACGGTCAGTTACACAAAGTCACCCAAATTCAAATGAGATTTTTAAATGCGTTGGGGAACATAATATGAACAATTGTGCATACATATATAACGATTCCACGTTATGACGCAGGG